TCTGCAAAATTATGATACCTACCTCATAGGTTGAATAAGGCAAAAAACTTTATGTATAGGAATATTCTGGAAGAATATAACCAAAAGGATATAAATAAAATGTAACTAGTGGTTATTCCTAGGTGATGGAATTATGGGTGATTTTTTTTGCCCTCTTTTTCTATTTTCTATAGAAACATATTTCTATTTTTATAGTTTCTATAGTGAATTAAAATATTGTTTCTCTCTGAGTGTCAGCATAGTATTGCAATTATGATCACAGACTCTGGAGCTGGACTTCTTAGGTTCCAATTACTTATTAGCTGTGTGAGCTTGGGCAAGTTACTTAGCCTCTACCTCAGTTTTCTCATCTGTAAAATGGAGATAATATTATTTCCATCATAGACTTAAATGAATTAATACAGATGAAGTGATTAGAATAGTAGCTGGCAGATAGTGTTACATGAATGTTTTCAAATATTCATATTTTCCTCCTCTATATCCTTTCTCTCAAAATTCCTATTCTTTGGATACCTTTAAGTCAACAAACTAAGTTACAAGTATATGTGATTATAGTTTAATGCAGGTGCCAGCAGACTATGGCCAGTGGCCAGGTGGCCCTTGAGCTAAGAACAGTTCTTACCTTTTAAAAGAGTTGTAAAAAAAGAAAAAAAGAATGTGCGACAGAGATAGTATGTGGCCCGCAAAGCCTCAAATATTTACTATCTGGACGCTTATAGAAAAAGTTTGGTGACTGTTGGCTTGTTTCCCCTTTTAAATACGTTTGCCATTTAAAATCACCACACTACAAATACCAAGGAATAAATCTGTACAGGTGGAATTTCAAGAAATGCGGTATACAGGAAGGGAGATGGTTTTGGACAAAGAAGATTTTATGCCATCTTGTGAATATTTGCTCCCCTGCTCCATGGTAAGATAATGCTTCCCACCAGTGATTAAGAATCGCTTCACGGTAGTTGACGGCATGGTACTGTAGGATCAAACAACCCAAAAGGTACTTATACTCACCAGGCTGAATGGGATAGAGGCTCCATGGGGTCTCAAATGATTAGTGTGTTTCTCTTGGCCAACTCTGTCCTGCTGATGGTGGCAATCTGACTACTATGGGAATCCAGGATCGTATCAAGTCTAGAATCAGCAAATTTGCCAGGCTAAGTATTCAGTTCCTTGCCACAGACCCTTGTGGTAATTGAGTGTGGGAGTGGGAAAGCTGACTCACGAAGTCTGTCTAGATCCCAGTCAGGCACATTTCAGAGAAAGAAAGTTGCCAGTAATAAAATCTTTAGAAATCTAAGGTTGTAAAAAGCAATTGTTTTGAAAAGGGGGGAAATTAAGCTAGATTTTTAGTTTGTTTGTTTGCATACAGGAAGAATGTTAGCCTGTGACTATTGGGGTAACGTTATCTACTGCTTTATTTGGCTTTAAGCAATTTGTAGCCTTTTCATCTGTTTTCATATGCAAACAAAACAGCCAAAGGCAAGAGAATGGGAGAAGAGACTTCATGTTCCTCCGACGGCCTTCAAGTGAGACTGGTAGGAAGCTGGCAGGTCTGTCTAGGAAGTTGATGTGGGGTGGGAGATGCATTTGTCTACTGAGTCCAGGACTCTCTGGGTGTTGTGGCAGTGGGTGGAGGGTGGGGAATGGAGGGCCACTTCTTTTCTGACCTTAATTAGGTCTGTTGAGACTCAAACATGCATGGTCAACCAAGGGTCTGTGGTTTGCCAGAAGTCTATTTGCATGAAAAACTAAGGACACTTCCTATGCAGAGTGGGTCAAGCAGGCTCTTTTGGCACATTAAGAAAACCTTAGTTATAAGAGGGTAGAGGTGCTTCTGAATATAACACTATATTCAGACTTGACTTTCAGCCCATCCCTTGAGTCTAAGTCCAATTCGGGGAGCAAGGCCTCCAGAGTCTGTGCTCTCCCCTGCAAGAGATTTCTACACTAGAAAAAGGGGGAGATTGAGGGCTGGCCTGGTAGCGTAGTGGTTGAGTTTGCGTGCTCTGCTTTGGTGGCCTGGGGTGCGCAGGTTTGGATCCCGCTTAACAAGTCATGCTGTGGCGGCATCTCACATATAAAGTGGAGGAAGATGGGCACAGATGTTTGCCCAAGGCCAATCTTCCTCAGCAAAAAAAAAAAAAAAAAAAAAGAGGAGGATTGGCAATGTTACTGGACACATACACAGGTTCTTTTTTTTTTTTTTTGTGAGGAAGATCGACCCTGAGCTAACATCTGCCAATCCTCCTCTTTTTGCTGAGGAAGACTGGCCCTGGGCTAACATCCATGCCCATCTTCCTCTACTTTATATGGGATGCCGCCACAGCATGGCTTGACAAGCGGTGCGTCGGTGCATGCCCAGGATCCGAACCTGCAAACCCCGGGCCACCACAGCAGAGTGTGCGCACTTAACTGCTTGTGCCACCGGGCCCGCCCCCACAGGTTCTTTACCCACCACACAAGAGGGGCCAAGTAAAAACTGGAACTCCAGGCTTACGGCAAGGAAAGGGTTTTTATTCCAGGTGACATCAGCCAGGAGACGAGAGTGAGCCTCAAATTTCTCTCGTCTCCCCGAAGGATGGGAAGCAAGGGGTTTTAAAGGTTTCGAGGGACAGCATGTGCTGGGGTTTTAGGTAAGGGAGGGGGAGCATGTGGCCTTGCTGGTTGGCCCTTCCCATCAGCCTGTGTTTGGCCTTGAAGACTGAATTTCTTTTCCTTGACTGTCTGGACTTTTTTGGGTAGTTTTTATCTTCAGCCTGCGTTTGGCCTTTTGAGGCTGAATCTTGACGTCCGGACTTTGATTTCCTGGGAAACAGCTCACTCATATACTAAGGAGGGACAGAAAGACCCGGTTAGTTTTAAACAACAGTTGATTCTGCTGACTATGCACAGCTGCAGTTAGCAAAGCTTATCTCAAAGTTTTTGCTCTTTTCTTCTAGCCCAGGGAAAATTTTTTAACCTCTTCGTGCTCCGTTTCAGCAACAGATGTTAGCTCAGGGCTAATCTTCCTCACAAAAAAAAAAACAAAAGGAGGAGGGGGAGGAGATGCTCCAATACAGATTTGGCAATGTTTTCTTTTCTCAAGTAAGGTCATTTAAAAACACATATACCATCTAATGGCTTCAGAAATAAAAGAGAATTGTAAAGGGGATATGTGACAATGCAAATTTGATTTAAAAATTTAATTACTTTACCTTTTATAAAAAACCCAGAAAGATGAAAACTTTAGAATGGCTTCTAGGAAAATCTCCCCTCCCCCATGTTGCAGCTACTTCCTTTCATCCCTTTTCCTCTTTGTTCCTTCACCTTTGCTTACTCCCTCCTCTGATCTTCCACACACAGCCCCCTAGTGTTTCAAACCACACTTTTTTCCTCTTAATTACATCAATTTAGTAGGGTGTGGGTCAACTATGGTCTTGGGGAGGGGAGACGAGGGGGAAGCATCTAGAGGAGCAGAACCTCAGGCTGCGAGTGAGACCTACCACTGGAAATAAGGTCCGGGAGCACAGGAGATTTGTCTGGTTTTCCACTATATCCCCCCACCCTGAAGACAGGGCCTGGAATGTGCAGGCGCTTAATAAATGTTCACTGAATCAATGACTGAAATACAGGCAAGGTACATACAGGTACCACTATAACACACCACCAATATAAAGAGTAGTCACTGCTCTTATTGGAGGTAAGGACAACATTTTGCAAATCATTAAAGATTAAATCTCTTTGCAGAAATAGGAGAAAGAAAAAAACTAACTGATAACACACCATCCTAACCCAACCATTATTATACTTTTGTTATTCTTTTCAGTGTTTCATAATATGCATTTAAAATATATTTGTAATCCGAAAATTTTGGATAGAAAATATGGAACTTATTTTCAAAAGACCCAATCTTCTTTACCTACACGATATCACTAAAAACAAACTTAGGTGATGTCACCTAAGTCTGGAATAACCTTTGATAATCTATGTCAGTACAACAAAGCAGGGGTATAAATCATAGAAGATTTATTGGTCAAGGAGGTATAAGACACGCATTCTTTCGCCGGCTCCTACTCCAAGAGTTTAATGATTCCCCAAAAAGATTTTATTGTTTTACATTCTGATTATAAAGCAGTTTACAGATATAATGCTTATATATTTATGTATGCAAATTTATATATTTATGAGCTCCTTCCATGCAGAAACAGATTTTAGAAATTCACATAAAGAGACCATTTCTAATTTTTCAGGACTATTTTTTACCTGGAGGAACTGCAGTAAGCAGTTTCACTTACCAGATAGACTGATTATTAGTAATTTAAAGTCCCAAAGGCAAATCTTTATCCTAATAAACCAACAAAACAGAAAGTTAATTCAAAACAAAATGACAACAATAAACCAGCTAAGAGGAATCTAAAGGACAGAGTGAGGATAAAACATTAATCAGTTCATTGGTGCAGAAATGGGATGAAAAAAATTCTATTATGTTCCTACATAGAGGAAGGTAATGCAAGAAATTCTTCCTGGCAGTAGAATTCAGGATCAACCCAGCCTGAAAGCTGACGCTGCACTCCGACTAGCAGCCACACTCCAGGATTTCCAAGGTAATTCAGGAAAGAAGGAGAATCTGGGACCGGTTAGGAGCTTCGGATAGCACGCGTTTTCCTGCAACAAACGCCGAGGTGTTCATCGGCAGCGGGCCCCGCGCCACCCTCCAAGACCCGCCGCAGACGGCCAGTGCCGAGCGCCCGCCGCGGTCTCCTGCCGCCCCCTGCCGGGCCCTTCGCGTCGGGCTACGGAGGACAGCCGAGCGGCCGCCTGGGGGCGCAAGGCGGCCGACGTCACCTCTGCGCGCGGCCCGTGGCCGGAAGTTAGTCTTGTCCACTTCCGCTCCTCGGTTCCGCTGCGGGCCCTGGAGGCGCAAGTAAAGCCGTGTACAGCGCTCAGGTGCACGCCAGTGGGAGGTGCGTGGCTTGCCGTGTTGTGCTTTTTCTGTTTAGAAGCAGGTCTGGTATAGCGGAGTGTCATTCCCGCGCAGCCCCTTCCAGCGTTGTCCTTGGGAGAGGAAGAGGGACGAGAAGAACCCATGGAACGGAACCCGTGGAATTACCCAGGTTTTGAGTTAAGAAAGACTCACCTGGGTTCGAACTTTATGCTTCAGCTAGCTAAGACAAACTAGTGAGGTAGCTCGGCACTTTTTCCGATTTTGTAATTTTAGAGATAATGCCTACCTTTTAAGTTGTGGGGTTTAAGTGAGACAGTGTATGTGGAGCGCTTGCTTTTGGATTTAAAAATCATATTCGTGATTCGGCGGCCTTTTCCCGTCATACTCAGGCGTGTACCTGCGGTTGTCTTCTCAGTATCTCTGAGAGAGATGCTTCCTATGCAAGAAGTCATGCATCTAACGAGAGCATTATGCAGTTTTAGCTGGGATCAGTGTCTTTATTTTGTATTACGAAGTCCTGACAATATTTTGTCCCCCCGCTTTTATTTGCCATTTCCAGGGACAGCTATTTTCCAGTTTTTCTGGAGAAATGCAAAGTCGTCTTTTCTTAAGGCAAATGAGGTGAGAAATGCATTGCTGTAAAGATCTCCAGACTTAGCTTTTGTCAAAAGAAGACCAAGTGGAATGTAGTACCCTAGGGTCAGTGATGAGCCATTTCCATTAAAAGCTCCTTTATCAGGGAAATTGTGGAGCAGAGGGTACGCAAATCCTCTTTTATTCTTTAGACCCACATGTTAAAAGTACAGAGATTTTCAGTGTATTTGTTAATTTTGGACTTTAGCCCTTGGAATAATGGTTTGGTGTGGTTAAAAACGTCAATTTGAGAGACGTTGAAATAAATTAGGAATTATTATTTATAAAATTTTCAGATTGAGGCAGTTGGTACTTCTTGTATTAGCCTGTTTAAATATTTATTCACTTTGCTATATGTTATAGGGGTGTCTTGAATGGAGATTGGGTGCTAAAAGAGTGAAATATCATTGATATTTTTCAGGTTCAGCTTTTTTTGTGTTGAAAACTGAAAAATTGAAAAGGTAACATATTTTCCATTACTTTTTTGCACTCTTTGGCCAGTTTAATTTTTCAGTTTCTTGTCTGATTGCAAAATAACATATTCATTAAAGAATATCACAATATTTCAGAAATAGTACATAGCCCCCATTAATCTCAGAGATAACTGTTATTCCATTTTTTACCTCTCTGTATATATTAATGCCCTCCCCCCTTTTTATATAAGTGGTATTATCCTATCCATATTATGCAGTTTGCTACTTAGAATATCTTTGATATCTTTCTATTGTGTTAGATCTGCCTCCCTTTTTTTTTTTTTCTTTTTTTCTGAGGAAGAGTCGCCCCGAGCTAACATCTGTTGCCAATCTTGCTCTTTTTGTATGTGAGCCACCACCACATCATGGCCACTGACAGATGAGTGGTGTAGGTCTGCACCTGGGAACCAAACCCTGGCCGCCGAACTGGAGCGTGCTGAACTTAACCACTAAGCCATCAGGGCTGGCACCTGCCTCTTTTTTAAAAATCAGGCTGTATAGTATATTGCATAGATGTACCACAATTTATGAATCATTCTACTATTGGTGGCCATTTGGGTTTCATCTTTTTTGGTATAGCAAATAATGTTGTGATGGACATTCTTTTTCATAACAAATGTGTATTCTTGTTCTTTTATTTCCTTTGGATAATCTCTAAGAAGTGGAAATGCTGGGTTAAAGGATATGGTTGATGGTGCCAAGTTCCCTTCCAACAGTGGTGATTGAGAATTTCCCCCACTTCCTCATATGCTCACCAACAGTTGATATTAGTTACCATTGTTTTTAGGCTTAGCTGAGACTGCTCATATCATTTTTTGGGTCAATTTATTGCATTTATTGTATTGTAATCACAACCAAATTTTAGTTGCCAATTCTAAGTCCAGTTTGGCTCTTTTTTCCTATATAAATAGAATGCTTAGTTTTAGATTCCTTAGTAATAAATTATTATTAAACAAATGATTCTCAATAGTAAGTATTTGTTAAGTTAAAGATTTGTGAGAAGATAGTATTTGAATGAGACCTTGTACTATGGATAGGTATCAGGAGAATGGGCCTTTCCAAAAGACAGAACAGCTTACACAAAGGCAGGGAGACAAGAATGGACAAGGATGTTTAGGACCAGAGGTTAGAGAAGCAATGGTGCCTGGTTGTGAGGTTGTAGAATAGAAGAGACAGCTAAAAAGGTAGTTGGAACTGCGTGGTGAGAACTTTGAAGGTCAGTCTGAAGATTTTGCTAAGGGAGAGCTATAGAGGTCTTTAATCAGGAAATAAGGGACATAATCACATCTTTGTTTTACTAGTATACTATGTTGGCAATTTTGAGTGACTGATGTTAGAGAAGCAAGTTAGGGGGCTGTTATAGTCTGGGTAAGAGAGAATAACAAAGAGTAGAGAGATTGGGTTTCACAGATACTGAAGAAGCTGAATCTACATGATTATTGAGGAAGAGGAAGAAAGCAAAGCTCACTTTTAGATTTTTATCATGAGTGACTATTAAGACAGTGATAGTGATTTCATTTATCAGAGGAGGGCTAGTTTGTTTGGGGGCTGGGAGAGATGATCAGTTCGGTTTTGGACATGTTAATTTATGTGAAAGATAATTCCGTGGAGAGTGAACTACACACAAAGACATAAAATCCACCTATGACAGATCAAGAGAAACTTGAATAGATTTATTCTTCTTTTATTAAGAAAATTGGCACATATTTTCACTTACTTTTAGTCTGTCATTAAAATTTCTTTTGAACTTTCTGTGGCTTGTTCAGCTCTATTTCTTATGGTGCTAACAATCTCAAGAGAGTGTATTGTCTAGAGTAGTAGTCTTCAGACTTTTTTGATTGTGTACAATCTCAATAAAAAAGGTTTATACATGTACCTCCAATATATGTATATTTATTTACTGATTAGTTATATACATGTTTTATAGTACTATTCTATTGTATACATTATAAAACACATAAAAAGCGGAAATTGTAAAAGGCCAAAGCAAATATAAATTGGAGTTTTATTGTTTTCTTCCTACATCCCATTGGATTATCTTGTACCCCTCTTTCTAAAGCACTGGTCTCGTCCACAACTGTCAGTGTTCTGTCCTGTTATCCAGTAGAGGTCACCCTTGAGCATCTGGAAGAGAGAACAGATTGTTGAGCTGTGCAAGGTAGAGCCTTCATTCTTTAGTTAGAAGGAGAATCTTATTTTTAAGTTTCTAAATTCATGCATTTTTGGAAGAGTAGTATGTGGTATTATGGAGAAGTGAAGAATAGTGAACTCAAAGCATAGAGCAATCTAAAATGTTTTTTTTTTGTTGTTGTTTGATGTTTATTTTGTGAGTGTCCTGCATTTTTGTTTGAATGTTATTTGATTCTATAGTTTTGTAATATTTTTTTCAGTTCTTTGAGGGTCTGTAGATTATCTGAGCTACAGGAATGTTCCCAGCCTGTAGGCATAATCCAAGTTCTTGGTAAATTGGAGTAATTAAAAGGATAGACACAGAGAGGCTTTCTTTAATATTGATCTTGAGAGCATTATCTCAAGCCCAGAGATATTAGTGGTGAGTTGGAACCATCTATATTTTCTATTTTATGCTTAATTAGGAGAGAGGAAAAGGGAAATGCCTCCTTTAAGTGATAAGAGCCCATTGTAAGTAATTAGAAATCAAGAACTAAATTGTCACATGTATACAGTCTGAAAGGATAAACTATGGTTCAAAAAAATATGTATACATGTTTTTGTATGACTAAGACCACAGGTAGTTTAGGAACATAAATCATCTGACAAATTGAATAACAGAAGAATACTTTTCTGTTGCTTTCCTCATAAAATAGTTCCTGTAAATGGAGATGCTCATTTTAGTTGCGACCTATGATTATTATCATATATAAGCTCATACATTTCATGCCCCATTTCTAAATGATCAAGAAAATGAGTTATAGAGGTTTTAGTCACTTGCTTGAAGTTATATGTGTTGTGAAACAGATGAAGAGAACTCTGGATTAATCTTTTGTAATATGGAGGTGAGGTGGAGGAGAATGGTAAAAGTAACTTTTTAATGTTTATGTGCCATCTCACAGCACAGTTCCACATGTGGTGGACTATGTGGATTAAATATCCCAACTAGATAATTTTGAAGTTGAAAATTGGTTTGGACTTGTTGAGTTACAACCAAGGGGCCAATAGGGTAAACTGAGTGAGATGGAGATTGGGATCAGGAACTGTTGACCAGAGGTCTGAATAAGCTAAGAATTAAGGCTCTAATGATAGCGTGGGTTTAAAGAGTACCATGAATCTAGAAAACGGTAGTTAAGGTAGAAATTAGGTAATCTGAAGTGTTGGTTTTCAGGGCTAGATTTAGAGTTTGATAGCCAGGACGTGAGAACAGAGGCAAAGAATTCTAGTATTTATGGGCACGGGCAAGGCCAAAAATCTAGGAAGTTGGAAGACAAGGCAGAATTGAAAGCATCAGTTGGTGGGAGTAAGCCAAAGGTTTGGAAACCCGAAGGATAAAGCAGAGATGCAGGGGGCAACTGGTTTTAGGTAGCCAAGGTAGGCAAGGCCAAATAAAAAGAGCAAGATGTACACAGGAATAATTCTGGGGCAGTGATGATGCTATTCTGCCTTTTTGTTAAGAATGGAAGCAGCCCCAGGACATGGGTAATCAAAAGCAGTGAACTAGGGAGTGGGAGTGCTAGGGAGTGGGAGTGCTAGGGAGTCGGAGTGAGGTGACTGAAATTGTTACCACAGCACCAGGAGAGCTAAAGCTATAGGTATTCTCTTATAGAAATGACCATGATGCTTACAGGATCATTTAGCTGTTTAACACATGCATTTGTATAATATTATATATGTTATTTTACACAGCATTCCAAAAGGTTTGGGCTACCTGATCATTATGGCACCAAGAAACCTCTTGTGTATGAGAAGTAACTTTCTCTTTGGTTCAAGATGTTGGATGATCCGATTTTCAGCAGAAATGCTCTTTAAGTCAGTTTCATTTAGGCTTTTTCGTGTGAAGTATGATAATACAGACACTGAGCCTTTGGAGAATGAAAAACTACTGAATAACTTACTTACTATGGGAGTAGATGTTGACATGGCGAAGAAACGACAGCCTGGAGTTTTCAATAGGGTAGGTACTAACGAGCAGGACTTGAAGATGTTTCTTCTGTCCAAAGGCGCTAAAGAAGAAGTGATTGCTAGCATCATATCAAGATATCCACGAGCTATAACACGCACACCTGAAAGTCTCTCAAAACGGTGGGATCTGTGGAGAAAAATTATGACATCAGACCTTGAAATTGTGAATATTTTGGAACGTTCTCCTGAATCCTTTTTTCGGTCCAATAACAACCTAAACTTAGAGAATAATATAAAGTTCCTATACTCAGTTGGACTGACCCATAAATGCCTTTGTCGATTGCTGACCAATGCCCCACGTACCTTCTCCAATAGTCTTGATCTGAATAAACAGATGGTTGAACTTTTGCAAGAAGTCTGTTTGTCCTTGGGTCACAATGATCCCACAGATTTTGTCAGGAAGATAATTTTGAAAAACCCCTTCATCTTAAGTCAGAGCACCAAACGAGTGAAAGCTAACATTGAGTTTTTACAGTCAACGTTCAGCTTGAACAATGAGGAGCTGCTTGTTCTGATATGTGGTCCAGGAGCTGAAATCCTAGACCTTTCCAATTATTATGCCAAAAGGAACTATACAAATATCAAAGAGAAGCTGTTTTCTCTTGGGTGTACTGAAGAAGAGGTACAGAAGTTTGTCTTAAGCTATCCAGATTTGATCTTCTTGGGAGAGAAAAAGTTTAATGATAAAATAGACTGCCTCATAGAAGAAAAAATTACCATCTCACACATAATTGAAAATCCTCGGATTTTGGATTCAAGCATAAATACTTTAAAAAGTCGAATCAAAGAATTGGTAAATGCTGGCTATAACTTGAGTACATCAAGTATCACTCTTCTGTCTTGGAGTCAAAAAAGATATAAAGCTAAACTGAAAAAGTTAAACATTGGATAGAACATTGCTCTGGGGCATTAAAAAAAATCTTATAATGTAATGATATCATTTCATTTTGAATTTGGGCTTTTCAAAAAGGAAAGGTTTGATTTCTTAACCACATACACATATATAATGATCCTTCAGATATTTTATTTTAAAGGTTCATAAAAACTCATGGTCAGTATGCTCAAATATAGTCTTCCCAGCTACCTTTTCTCTAATTTGAATTAATACAACATCTGATTATGTGATAACAGGCTGTGGCTGCTGTATGAATAGTAGTTCCTGAGTGCCAAGGCAGAACAATGTGTAGAAAGATGGAAAGTACAAAATAAGCCTTTTTTGGTTTCTGTTCAGATTAAAAAATGAACAGATTCATTTAGATAGTTCTGTTTCCTCTCATGGTTTTGAATGGCAACCTATTTCTCCTGTTATTCCCATGTATCTAATTATGGTTCATCTTCAAAACAGAATGCCAGTAAAATTCTTAATTTAATTTTTATTTTTTTTTTTATTTATTTTTCCCCCAAAGCCCCAGTAGATAGTTGTATGTCATAGCTGCACATCCTTCCAGTTGCTGCATGTGGGACACAGCCCCGGCATGCCCGGAGAAGCGGTGCGTCGGTGCGCGCCCGGGATCCGAACCCGGGCCGCCAGCATCGGAGCACACGCACTTAACCGCTAAGCCATGGGGCCGGCCTGCCAGTAAAATTCTGACAAAAACAGAAAGGAGCGATTTTTCATCCCCAATTCTACATTTTCCATTTAAATCATTAGTATGCTCTGCCACCATCCCCCAACACACACGCGCGGGCTCAATTTTCTATGGGTACATCCTGATTTCTTTGAAGACAAGGGCAACTGTGTAGGCAGAATAATGGCCACCCAAAGATGTCAGTGTCTTAATTCCCAGAACCTGTGAGTATGTTATGTTACATGGCAAAAGGACTTTGCAGTTAAATTTAAGTTAAGGACCTTGAGATGGAGAGATTATCCTGGATTATCGGGATGGGCCCAGTGTAATTATAAGGGTCCTTAAAAGTGGAAGAGGGAAGTAAAAGAGGTCAGAGTGATGCCATGTAAGAAGAACTTGACCCACTTTTACTGGCTTTGAAGGAGAAAGGGACCATGAGCCATGGAATGCAGGTGGCCTCTAGAAAATGGAAAAGGCAAGGAAACATTCTCCCCCAGCTCCCACAGAAAGGAATGCAGCCCTGCTGGGACCTTAAATTTAGCCCAGTGAGATTTATGTCAAACCTCTGACCTACAGAACTGTAAGATAATAAATTTGAGTTGTTTTAAGCCACTGAGTTTGTGATAATTTGTTACAGCAGCAAATAGATTAATATGGCAACTAAATAGAGGACTATTGCATTATAGGTGAAGAAATCACAAAATATGGTTCTTTTAGTATTAATATTATTATTTTTTATAATTTTATTTATCTATTTTTTTTCCCCAAAGCCCCAGTAGATAGTTGTATGTCATAGCTGCACATCCTTCTGGTTGCTGTGTGTGGGACACGGCCTCAGCATGGCCGGAGAAGCGGTGCGTCGGTGTGCGCCCGGGATCTGAACCCGGGCCGCCAGCAGCGGAGCGCATGCACTTAACTGCTAAGCCACAGGGCCGGCCCTCCTTTTAGTATTATATCTGTATTTATTCCTCTTACAGTAACCTTTTCAATCCACCTCTGTTTTTGGAATGACTAATAAGTTAGTGTTTGTAAAGTCCTCTAAATCTATGGATAAAAAAGTAAATGTAAGTAATAAAATCTAAATAAAGGAATATTTTTGCCTAATGGCCATAGTTTAACGCCATGGTGATAGTTTCTGTATATTTACATTTTGTTGGCATTTCATCTAATATGAATAAAGAACAAGGAATTTCTAGAGGCATTGACTTAAAAAATAACAAATCGGATGATGTCTGTATCTTGAAGACATTCACAATCTAGCTCTGATATAAACTGAAAGGACAAATTATATGACCTTAATTACTTTTAATTGTTTTCCATAGGTATTTGTTTTCTAGATGTGGATTTTGAATTAAATAACAATGGTGCTCACATTTTAAGCCTTATTTCCTATCAGTGATGCTTCAAAAAAACTTAATCCCACCACTGAGAGAAACAAAATGCCTGCTTTTTTAAGGCTGTGTGTATGTTAATGATACTCTTATTATAATCGTTTCCAGTAAACTATTTGATGGCAAGCATGGCATAGTCTAGAAAACATCCACTTTAGAGAGAGATTTCTTTAGAGTGAAATATGTGGGCACCATTCCTGACTAGCCCTGTAACCTTGTGTAAATATTTTAATTTCACTGAACTTGTATTCTCATCTATAAGATTAAAAATTGACCTCACAGAGTTGATGAGAATCAGATAATATAGGGTCTCTAAGGTTTCTTGCACTTAGTGACTGTTCAATGGTAGCTGGAATCAAGTTACAGTAATATTTTTAAAAACAGTTTTATTGATATATATATCATATACCATTACAATTCACCAGTTTAAAGTACACAACTCAATGTATTTTTTAGTATTCATAGGGCTATGTAGTCACCATAGTCTAATTTTAGAGTATATTTGCACCCCCTATAAGAAACTCTGTACCCATTAGCAGTCAGTCCTCATTATCCCCCTCTTACTTCCCTGGCCCTAAGCAACCACTGACCTACTTTCTCTCTATAAAATTTGCCGATTCTGGGTATTTCACATAAATGGAATCATGCAGTATGTGGTCTTTTGTGACCGGCTTCTTTCACTTAGCATAATGTTTTCAAGGTTCATCCATGTAGCACGTATCAGTATTTCATTCCTTTTTATTGCCCAATAATATTCCATTGCATGGATATGGTAGTATTATTGGGAGTAAATTTTATTGTTATGACTTAAAACACAAAGTATTAATTCCTTAGGTCTTCTGAATTATATGGGTATTCTGAGGTGTTGCTTCAGAATCTACAAGTCTATAAGGAACTTGAGGGAGGTGGACAGAGGAGATAAAAGTTTATTGACATCAGCTGGTCATGAGGATTATATCTGGGCTGACAAAAGATGATATAGCAGCAAGAGTTGCCAGTGGCTGAGGAGAATATGAGATGCACAGCAGTACAATATTGCACTTGTTTGAGAGTTGGAGAAGGACAACTTCTTAGTAGAAACAAATAGATGATGCCTGTCAGGCAAGATTGACGTCATATTTTAAGGTTTGAGTCTGATTGAGGGAGAGTCTTAAAAAAAATTGAATTATAAAAATTTTAAGTAATTTTTTTTATGAGTAAAAAGAAAATCCATGTTTATAAGGGGGGAAAAAGTGGAAAATAAAACACAAAAAAAGAAGAAAAAAATATAATCTTATCTCCCAGAGATAGATAATGAACATTTTGATGACACTTCTTGTTTTTCTTTGTAGAATATACCCATACATGGATGTAATAGGAGTAGATATGTGGCATATATAAGTTGAGATCAAACTCTATGTATTTTATAAGTTATTTTTTTAACCTACTAGATCCTAAACATATTAAGTATTCTTTAGTAGTTAATTACAGAATCAATTAAATATTCACCTGTAACATGGTTTTTAATGGTTGTATAAAATTCTGTTGTTTGGATAAACCATAATTTCTCTAGTCAATCTCTCACCATTAGACATGTGGATTAAATTTTAGTACATTAGTAATTTTTTGAGAATCCCACCTGGATTAGTTCAGTATTCCACAGACATGTATTCCACATACATAATACCATTTTTTCCCACCATTGGTATACTTTATAAGTTAAAATTTTGCGCTAGAAAATGTGAACATTAAGAATACTGCATTTTGCTGTTCTCCAAATGTCAGATGTATCTGCAAAACTTCATTTTTTAATGGATACCATATGTACATTCTAAATTGCTGGCATAAACATGAGGACTTGCAATACTAAGTATTAGGACAGTATCAAAGATTAAAGAAAAAAAATGTTTATCACGAACTTAGCAGGAAGGAATAAAAAATGAGTAGTATTTATAAAAGGGTTTATTGGGCTATTAAACTAGTCATTTCTCTCCTTATGTCATGTAATCTTTAAGGCCTGTATAGGTACATGGTTTGTAGCTAGAGATATGGCTTTCACGTGAAAAACTTGGCTTCTTCCCTGTGGACTGTAAAGCCCCACACTTCACACTCAGAAGTATGATCTAGTGGAGATTGAAGGGAGCATCTGTTGATGGCAGAACCCTAGCCAAAAACTTGAATAATAGGCAGTTGTTACCTAGTCCAGGAAGAGCTTGGCACAAGCAAGCTAGAATAGCAAGACTGTATTATTGTTAGAGAGATTTTGGGAAGAGATCATAGCAGAAGCCTTGTTGCCCAACATTGGAGAGAGAAAGGATGAGCTATGACTCATAGTCATCGTGGTCTTCCAGGGATCATCTCTGGAGGGACTAGATCTTGGGTCTGATTGGCCACCAGGTAACTTGGGAGACAGGTGTTCTAAACTGGCAAAGAGGTTTTTGTACTGAGGCCATTCATTCATTCCTTAGTTTATTCACTGTTGATTCAGGAACCTGGTATAGGACAGAGCTGCAATAGGATCAGTCTTGAGGAGTTGAGGAAGGCACTCGTGGTGAATATTATAACCAGGCCATATGTATTTTCTTGCTCATTTTCATGTTTCTGGTATTCCCCAGATGACACTATTACCTCTTCACTTTCTTCTGCTCTTTTCAAGATAGATTATGTCTACCCCTTTGCTTTCACACTTTTTTCCCATTAATTCACAGAGGTTGTTAATTAAATGAAAACAAATACTATAGGTTCTTTTTTAGCCTTTTGACTAATTTCTGAGTGAAATTTGGTACAGAGATAGAAGACATACTGATGGAATCCCATTTTCTGTCTCAGTTTCACTATAAATTGGATATTTGGAATTTATTTTTCCTTAATAGAAATACTGTGTGAAGATTAATGAGTTTATGTACATGAACTGCTTTGTGTTAATTATGAAAAATTTTAATACGATGGCATGATAGTTCTTC